CCCCAAAACCCCAAAACCCCAAAACCCCGAATATCCTATGAATTACTGAATATTTGTTATGATGTGCTATATACATTCATTGGCAAAGATCCTTCTACTGATAATGACTTATGAAATTATTTGGCATCTTTAGATTTTGAATCTGGTTGAATTAATTTGTTCATTCTTTCTTGCTTTTGCTTTTTGAACCACTCCATTCTCTGTTTTTGTTGTTGGAGAGTTAAATTCCTCCTTCTTTGCTTCATAATTGCTTTTGCTTCCTTAATAATTTGTTCCGCTTTGTATACACTTGCTCACGAAATAGCAGTGGTTGGCTTGAACAGATAATCTTCAATATTAGTAGAATATTGCTTCTCTGGGATGAACGCACTCTGGAGAGACTTGTAGATTTGGATAGGCTTTGCCTTGGCGAGTAGCTTCATCTCAGTAAATCCTCATTCATAAATAGCCCTTGCTTCGGAGATATCAAGATATTTTACCTTCATTAAGTCTTCCAGGTCTTCTTGAAGATCAAAGTTCACTCTATCTTGGAACTGGGATAAAATATGAAAAATACTGAACCACTCAAGCTCTTTTCAGATACTTCAAATGACATTGGGTAAAAAGGTTGCTCTCTTCTTTAAAGTCTGTATAGCACCAGTAGAAACCCCATATTTCCTTGCTACTTCCTCAACGGAATTATTAGAGATGAGGTCTTTGAGGATAAGGGTCAAGTAAAACCTGACATGCTTTAAGTTCTGGATCAGTTGTTTATTAATCACACTGAATTCATAATTTTTCTCTGTTTCTTCCAAACCATGCTTTTGGAATTGCTTTACCTCTAGTAATCCCTTGTTTTGTGTGTTGTAGATAGATCAAGTCTGGATGTGGGCAAGGTCAATCTGGATCTTCTCTCAGATGGTCATCTCTAAAGAGCTAAGGTTCTTGAATAATTTCTGAAATAAATCCCATTTCACCCTGATCTCAGGCATTGAGACTGGAGTCAAGAGATATAGCAGTTGGAGTTCATGCTGTAGGACTAAGGATTTCTGGGCTTTTAAGAGATCAAGATATATTATTAAACCTTCCTCGGGAAGTAACCCAGAGGCCAGAATTGCTTTGCCTAGCTTTGTTGATTTATATATCCTTCATTCTTGTTCATCTTTAGCTAGAGGTTTTGATTTTAAGTCTTCAAGGATAAGGGGGTCTTCTTCGTTAGTTATTTCACTCTTGAGTTTTTCTTCAATAATAATTTCATTGTTTATTAAGAATTCCATCGAATTATTTTCCAGTCTGAAGAGTCTCATACCAAGCCATTCGCTTTGTTTTTAAAGTTGGACCTATAATAGTATGGATACTACCTACCTTTTATACTAGTTGAACTATTCTGATCTTGTAAAGACTTAATAAAGTGATTTTGCAGCTGGAAGTGGTAAAAAGTTTGCTGTAGATAATGTTTAAATTGAAGATCATTTTTCACTATTTGAGATCATACTCAATCAAGGATCATCTTTCTCATTCCTTTGTCAACAGATCCCAGTCAGCTTTTAACTGATTTTAGTTTGAGGTCATGTCCAATGATATTTTCAACTTGCTCCTTTTCGTTTGCTGTGCAAATGAGGAATGACTCTCCTGAAGTATCTAATCCATACCTATATGTTAGAATCTCTTCCTTACCTGCCTGCTCTTCCAGCCATTTGCTTATAAGTAGTATCAGACATGATATCCTTTCCTTGTTTTATCGAGGTAATGATTACTCTTTTTGCTGGTAAATTGACTCCTGCAGCAAGAGTAGAGGTGCAAAATAAGGCTTTTATCAGACCCTCTCTGAAGGCTCTCTCAATTACCAGCCTTTCAGAGTTCTTCAATCCTGAATGATGGTAGGCAAATCCTTTCTTGATCATATTCTTGAGTGCCATATTTTTGATCCCATACTCAATATGCTCAGTGAGTTTGTAATTTCCTGGAGGTAGATCTGATCTCTTGCTAAACCTACTAAGTTTAGACAAGCTATCATATTCGCCACTTTTCTCCTTTTCTACACAAGATTAGAGAGATGTCTTACCGATAATCTCTTGGATTATGTCAGAATTTATCCGGACTCCATTGCTGTCTCAGGTATGGCACAGATTTTTACAGATGATTTGACACTCCATCTTACTTGAGCAGAATATTAAAACTGATCCTGTTCGTGCACTTTCTGGAGAATCATCGATTTTATTCATGACTGTTTCAAGTATCAATGGGAGCATTTTGTACTTATCATACTTATTGTTTTTCAGGAAACCCTCTTTGCTTCCCATCTCTAGTGGGCTGTCATACTTCCTGTTGATAAAATCATGTGTAGAGTACACTTTTCCGATGCACAGAATGTATTCCTTGACTTCTACAGGTCTAAAGTCGGTCATGTAAAGTGTTGCATCCATCCAGTTTCACACCTCGTCAAGGTTTGGAAGAGTAGCACTCATTCCAATGATCTGTATTGGGTTGAATTTATGGAAATTTTTAGAGTATAACAGTTTTGTGATCATTGATTCAATGAAAAATCCTCTGTAATGATCTCCAATTGTATGAAATTCATCGATGATTACTGTACTTATTCTTTTAGAGAGCTCTTCTAATCCAAATTCTGCAGTAATTTTGTTCAGAAATCCGTTAGCCTTCTCTATAGTTCACATCATTATGTTTGTCTCTCCTTGTTCATATCGTCCAAATTTGCCAGAATGCACACTGATAGCATCTAGTCCGTAATGCTTGAATAATTTGGAGTACTTCTTCTCTTTTTCATTGATCAAACTGATGAAAGGATATATGACTATGACCAATTTTTCTCTGTATTTGAGAGCATTATTGAGCATGATAATTTCACTCACAAGGGATTTTCCAGCACTTGTAGGAGCTGAGTAAATGAATGAAGCTCCATTGTACATCACATCTTTAAGTCGTAGGCATTCATTTTGCCAGTCAAAGAGTTTAAAGCTTCCCTGACCTCCTTGATCGCTACCCATGAATTGGATGTATGTCTTGAGAACCTCATTTAGAGAAGCTATTTTGGTTGTTGATTCATCTTCCTCATCTATATCTACCTCACTTATAAGTGAAAGGTCCTCTAGGTCACCTTCGCTGATATCATCCATAAGAAATGGATTGATTTCCTCTCCTATCTTGATATCATCTTTTTGGGTACCAACTTCATAATCCATATACTGTGACTGTTTATTGTCTTTCTTATTGCTTGAAAAATATCTCATAAATTGCTTCTTCTCTTTCCCTTCTTTAGATGGGCTTGGATGCTGATTTTTATTTGCAGACTCTTTTCTATAAATGCCGAGCATCGATTTTGAGTCAGACTTGGGCTCTAATTTGTCGAAATTGGCAGTCTCTTCAATCTCATTGACAAGTCTGACCTCCTTTTCATTCTTTCACAGCTTATTTAATGCTCTCTTTCATTTTGAGATTAGAAAGCCTCATCGAGTCGTATGAATTACAAGGGCTTTCTAAGTCTCTTTTTGGCTTCTTTTTAGAAGGAGATAGAAGATCAACTTTTATACTGGAATCTTCATCAGAATTGTTACTAAGAAGTCCTTCAACTTCTTCATAACTGAGGTCCTTATCTGAAAGCATATCTTGTAATTCTTGTGTGTTTAGGTCAGTTTTACTACTTCTCTCACTCTTTTTTGGAGTGCTTTTTAGCAGAGAATTATCTCCTAATTTCAAAGTCTCTTCGTCATCCGGGATAGTATTGATCTTGTGCTTAATTTCGCATCTAGAGCATTGATAATGTTTTGAAGTAAATTAATATGAAAAGGTGGCTGAGTCCTGATGAATTCCGACCTCCATCATTTTGCTTTAAAGATAATATTCCAAATTTTGATAAATTCTGCCATTATTCCACTTACATTTGCTGAAAAACTGATGATCTCTTGATTGGTTTTTTAGCTGTCTTTCGCTTTTCCTCCTCCTTCCTATCACAGGCCTCTAATAATTCATCGATACCTTCAAGATCTATATCTGAATCTGACGCCATGATATCGAGGATGTCTTTGTCCATCTTTTCTTTCTTTTTGAACATAACAAAAATTTAATATCGCTTAATTTTTAGAACTTGCGCATTCAATAAAGCTAATATCTTAAGGGGTTTTGGGGTTTTGGGGTTTTGGGGTTTTGGGG